GCGCCCGCACCGCCCCGCACCGCCCCGCACCGCTCCGCACCACCCCGGGCGCTGAGCCACTCGCCGCCTGTCCCAGGTCTACGACCAGATGCCGGAGCCGCGCTACGTGGTGTCCATGGGGAGGTGAGTGCATGGCGGCCTGGTCGTCCATGTCGTGGACCCTCCGGCAGGGTGTGCTGGGCAGCCCAGGCCACACTCCAGCCTCCCTGGTCCCCTGTGCCAAGCACGGTGGCGGCAGCCTCTCAGAGGGCTCCGTCCCCAGCTTTCCAAGTGGCCGTCCGCACCTGCGGTCACTGTCCCGTCGAGGCCTGGTGTGCACGTTACAGGGCCCGGAGCGTGTGGCGTGGGATGCAGGGCTGTGTTCCCAGCACCTCCGTGTGCTTCTTGAGCCTTCCTCGCCCCAGGGGTGGCTCCCCATGAGCTACACAGGCCCCTTCTTGTCCCCGTGGACCTGCCCGTTCTGGGTGTGTCACGGACACGGGGTCGCGCCTGTGGGAGAGCTGCCAGGAGGGCGCAGGTGCTAGCGCTCCGGGGGCTGGGCGCCCAGGCTCAGGCCAGGCTTCCCCAAGGAGAGTCAGGCCTTTCTGCGGACTCCCACCTCGCCCCGCCGGCCTGCTCGGGTCTGGGCTCAAGCCCCGGCCTCTGCGTGGCCTGCATCCCAGGGGCCAGCGGCTGGCCAGGTGGCTCCCCTTGCTCAGCGCCCTGGCGGCTGTGGCCTGTCAGACTGGGCGTTTCGGGTTCCTTCCAGAGGACCCGACAGCCTCAGTAGTGGGCGGTGCGTGGGAGGTCAGAGGCCCATGGCCCGCCCGCCCTGCCCCAGCTGTCCTCACACTGGCCCTGGGAGAGGCCCTGTGCGTCTGGGCCCAGGCCGGGACCCTCCTGGGTGCCACCAAGCCCATCCTCGCAGTCCTCTCCTGCAGAAGGTGGCCGCTGTGCCGGGGGGGCTGTCTCAGCGCCTGGGACGCCCTGCCCACCGGGGCCAGCCGGCGGGGGTGCGGCGGGCGGGGGGGCGGGGGGGGG